TTTCTTCCGTTAAAGGGAGTTTTTCCTCCCCACTGTCGCCAAGTGCTTGCTCAAGGGGGATTTGTTGGGTTTTCCCTATGTAATAATATTGATAACAGTAAGGTCTAGACCTTACTTTGTAAAGTGTCCTGAGATGACTTTTGTTGTGATCTGGCGCTATACAAATAAAATTTGATTTGATTTGATTTTGACATCTGTTCTTGTGTGATGAGATCAGTTCAACAGGAGCCACCTGAGTTTGTGACTATCACATCTTGAAGTCACACTGGAAATTACTTGTTGAGACAGTTTAGTCTGGACTAAAGTAAAGGGCCGACAATTTGACACTGATAACTTCTGACAAATACAGCAGGATGTACATGTGTTCATTTGTCTTTCATGAAACTCACTGTAATATCACTACAAGTCCTCCTGTCTGTTCTCCCAGCTTTACTGCAACTCTCCACTCCATATTAAAATGACAATCTAACAATGATTATCTAGAAAAAGTTCATGATAAAAAAAAGACAGAGGGGCTTAAAGGTATATGGATGTATTAAAGAAGTCCACTGGACTATTTCTAATAGATTTCAGCATCCGGCTGCACTCCAGACTGCCCCGCACGGTCTCAGCCTGGGAAGTGCCGCTTGGCTGCTTCTCTGTCCGTCAACAACAGCCTAAGTGTTTTGGCAGCAGGTCTGTGCAGTCAGCAGAGCTCTTTCACTGGTTCATGCATTATTAATGAAGAGTCAAAGGCCCCTTATGACTTTGATTATCTGGGCAGGATGGACTGATCCCTGCAGACCGGCGCTGCTCAAAACAAGATCCTCTGTAAATATGCCTGTAATAGTGCAGGGAAATGAGCTGTAATGAGCCTGAGAGGTGTTCATTTTCACATATCACCTGATACCTTCAGTACTGTCGGTGCACTTGTTTAACTGTGCTGTGGTACAGTTCCCAGTTTAATGGACTGTGGGAGGAAGCTGGAGTACCTGGACAGAACCCACACAGGCACAGGGAGAACATGCAGACACTGCACAGAAAGGCCCTGGGTCAGCTGGGGCTCGAATCTGGAACCTTCTTGCCGTGAAGCAACAGTGCTAGCCACCGTGCCGCTGTGCTGCCCACCTGTTTAGAATGCTACTCTAAATTCTATAGTCCTTTACTGCTTTACAGAAGAGCTAGATTTGACCTCATTTGTACCTGTTTTGTCAATATCTTACTCAGTTTAACTACTGGTATGTTAGGCTGAGCTTAGACAGACAACAGCATGATGTAAAATAAAAAAAACACAGCCTGTTTATTTATTTTAAAAAAAAGAGAGCATAAAAACACTTTCAGTTTTGCTACCACAGTGATCAGAGTTCATAGTACAGACTCAACACTGTACTTTCTGCTGTTATTATTCTAATATGCACTCACCCCTATACTGTCCTCCTGTCTGTACTGTTGCCAGTTGTGTCCCGTGTCGCTGAACATCAGGAGGTAGGATGTCAGCCAATCAGAGCTGCCGTAGCGGCCCTGCGTGGCGACAGCTGTGAGCTTGGTCCGCTCGCCCAGGTCGACCTCCAGCCACTGATACTGGTCTGAGGTGAGAGGGGACCAACCTCCAGCTCCTGTGGAGAGAGGAGGAGGGAAAAAAGATTGATTTGGTACATTTCAATCTAGGGTATAAAATGTAATAAATTTTTTAGTCACCTGCGTGTGTGTGCACATAGTATCATCATTGTGAGAACATTTAGCTGCTCCTCACAACCTCAAAGGGCTGTTTAGGGTTAAGACTTGGTTTTAGGGTTAGAACTATTAATGTCTTTACAACAATACAAAGACACGACTCTTGTGTGTGTGTGTGTCTTCACTGTCACCAGAGTTTGCTGTAACAGAGATAGAAAAAAACACATTTTTGTGAATCTCATGCAACAGTTTAAAACCCATTTTGGTGTAATAACTGAAGACGGCGCTGTGTTAGTGTTTGTTTGTGCTGGGCTAGATGATTGGTTTTATTTCAAGGTACTGCAGGTTTT